TAATTTACGTCTGTCTAGACAAGGCTATGGTTTTTCCTGTGGTAATGTATGGATGTGAGAGTTGGACTATTAAGAAAGCTGAGTGCCGAAGAATTGATTCTTTTGAACTGTGGTGTTGGAGAAGACTCTTGAGAGTCCCTTGGACTGCAAGGAGATCCAACCAGTCCATCCTAAAGAAGATCAGTCCTGGGTGTTCATTGGAAGGACTGATGCTGAAGCTGAAACTCCAATACTTTGGCCACCTGCTGTGAAGAGCTGACTCACTGGCAAAGACCCTGATGCTGGGAAAGATTGAGGGCAGGAGGAGAAGGGGACAACAGATGATGAGATGGTTGGATGGCATCATCGACTCAATGGACATGGGTTTGGGTGGACTCTGGGAACTGGTGATGGACAGGGAGGCCTGGCATGCTGTGGTTCATGGGGTTGCAAAGAGTTGGACACAACTGAGCGACTGAACTGAACTGAACTTACTTTTTTGTAGAGCCAGGTATTGTTTTCTCATCAACCTGGAGGACTTCCTTTCACATTTCTTGTACTGCAGTTTTGCTGGTGATAATGAATTCTGCTTGCTTTTTTGTGTTTGGGAAAAAATATTATTTTGCCTTCACTTGAAAAAAATATTTTCTCTGGGCGTAGAATTCTCAGTTGACTTGTAGATTGGTTTACTGCTTTCAGGGTGTCGCTTCAGTGTTTTCTGCTTTGCACCGTTTCTCACAAGAAGTCTTCTGTCATTCTTACGTGTGTTCCTCCTGTACTTCACATCTTTTTTCCTCTTACTCTTTAGAATTTACTGTCACTTATGGTAAGTAATTTTGTTATGATATGCATTCACATAATTTTCTTCATTTTTCTTATTTATGGTATTCCTTGAGTTTCTTGAATCTGTGGGTTTATAGTTTTTACCAAATTTGGAAAAGCTTAGGCCATTCATTTTTCTTTTTTTCCTTCCTTGTTGAGATATAACTGACATGCAGGACTGTATAGGTTTAAGGTGTACAACTTAATGATTTGACTTACATACATCATGAAATGATTATCACACAGAAATAGTGAATGTCACAAAGCCACAGTCATCAAGACAGTATGGTACTGGCACAAAGACAGAAATATAGATCAATGGAACAGAATAGAAAGCCCAGAGATAAATCCACGAACCTATGGTCACCTTATCTTCGACAAAGGAGGCAAGGATATACAATGGAAAAAAGACAACCTCTTTAACAAGTGGTGCTGGGAAAACTGGTCAACCACCTATAAAAGAATGAAACTAGAACACTTTCTAACACCATACACAAAAATAAACTCAAAATGGATTAAAGATCTAAACGTAAGACCAGAAACTATAAAACTCCTAGAGGAGAACATAGGCAAAACACTCTCTGACATAAATCACACCAGGATCCTCTATGACCCACATCCCAGAAAAATAAATGACCCAATCAAAAAATGGGCCAAAGAACTAAACAGACATTTCTCCAAGGAAGACATACAGATGTCTAACAAACACATGAAAAGATGCTCAACATCACTCATTATCAGAGAAATGCAAATCACAACCACAATGAGGTACCATTACACGCCAGTCAGGATGGCTGCTATCCAAAAGTCTACAAGCAATTAATGCTGGAGAGGGTGTGGAGAAAAGGGAACCCTCTTACACTGTTGGTGGGAATGCAAACTAGTACAGCCGCTATGGAAAACAGTGTGGAGATTTCTTAAAAAACTGGAAATAGAACTGCCATTTGACCCAGCAATCCCACTTCTGGGCATACACACCGAGGAAACCAGATCTGAAAGAGACACGTGCACCCCAGTGTTCATCACAGCACTGTTTATAATAGCCAGGACATGGAAGCAACCTAGATGCCCATCTGCAGACGAATGGATAAGGAAGCTGTGGTACATATACACAATGGAATATTACTCAGCCATTAAAAAGAATTCATTTGAATCAGTTCTAATGAGATGGATGAAACTGGAGCCCATTATACAGAGTGAAGTAAGCCAGAAAGATAAAGACCATTACAGTATACTAACACATATATATGGAATTTAGAAAGATGGTAACGATAACCCTAAATGCAAAACAGAAAAAGAGACACAGATATATAGAACAGACTTTTGGACTCTGTGGGAGAATGCGAGGGTGGGATTTTCAAGAGAACAGCATCAAAACATGGATATTATCTAGGGTGAAACAGATCACCAGCCCAGGTTGGGTGCATGAGACAAGTGCTCGGGCCTGGTGCACTGGGAAGACCCAGAGGGATCGGGTGGAGAGGGAGGTGGGAGGGGGGACCGGGATGGGGAATACATGTAAATCCATGGCTAATTCATTTCAATGTATGACAGAAACCACTGCAATGTTGTAAAGTAATTAGCCTCCAACTAATAAAAATAAATGAAAAAAAAAAAAAAGAAATAGTGAATGTCCATCGTCTCATACAGATACAAAATAAAAGGAAAAAAAATACATTAGGATCTACTTTCTGTTTAACAACTTTTGTATGTAACATACAGCAGTGGTAATTATCTTAATCATGTTATACATTATCTCCCTAGTATTTATATATCTTATGACTGAAAGTTTGTATCTTTTGTCCATAAACTATATGGTTCATTCTTTAGATCTTTAGTTGTGGAAAATCTCTTCTGGTGGTGTTTAAGTTGTTCTCATCCATACTTGCTCTGAAAATAGTTGTAATTTTGGTGCACCTGTGGAAGGAGGTGAGCTCAGGGTCTTCTTACTCCACCATCTCAGCCACTGTCTCATTAATTTTTCACATATTTTTTCTCTCCTTCAGGGAGTCCAACTGCATACATACAATGTTTCTTTCAACTGGCCTTTGATTATTGATACTATATTCACTTATTGACCATCTTTTATTTCTGTTTCATTTTGGATGGTTTCTGTTTTACATCTTTAAATTTACTAGTCTTTTCTTTGAATGTCTTAACCTTCTGTTCAGTCCATCCATTGCATTTTTCATTTCAGCTGCCTTTTTAATTTTAGGAATTTTAAAAAATATCTTTCCTATCTCCGTATCTTCAGTTTTCTTCAGCTTTCTTAAACATGGAATACATCATAACTTTTAATATCCTTGTCTATTAATTCCATTATCTCTATCATATCTAAGTCTGTTTCTGTTGATTGGTTTTTCTTATTACAGATCATATTTTCCTGCCTTTTTTTTTTTTTTTGCATGCATGGTGATTGTTTATTGTGTGCCAAACATTCTGAATTTGTTGGATATTGAATATTACAAAATTTCTTTGAATACTTTTGAACTTTATTTATTCTGAGACACATTTAAATTATTTAGGAACAGTTTGATCCTTTTGAGGCTCTTTTAAGCTTGCAGAGGCTCAGAACAGCCTTTGTTCTAGGCCTAACTTTCCCTTGCACAGTATAGTACTTTGGAGTACTCTGCCCAATTACAGTATGTTGCGAGATTTTCCTGCTCTGCCTGGTGGTCACATGAACAGTTTCTGGGCTTGTGTGATTTGGGGGGATGAGCCTGCCTGGTCTTTTACAAGTGATTCCTTTGCTGACTTCAGGTGGTTTCCTTATGTGCTTGTGCTGCTCTGTCCTCGGCTGGAGACTCTAAAGCAGAAGCCTGCGGATCCTGGAGCTCTCTGTATGGCCTTCTCCTGTTAATGCAGTTACAGCCTCACAGGCAGCTTTTTCTTCTCTGATGCTCTGCTCCATGAATTCTTGCAGCCCTGACTTCCCTGGATTCTCTGTTTCCTTAACATTAATTTTTATTAAAAATATCATGATAGTATTAATAAATTTTAAAGTGACTTGTTTTCAGATATGTATTTTTGGTTTCCATTCTCTTCTTTTTATTAATATAACACTATCTAAAAGAGCATTTATATTGAATCTGCTGGCATCATTCAATTTTTATTAGAAGTGAAAGTAGTAAATTTTGAATTTATTTGATTGGGTAGTGGTTTTAAGTTTATGTTTGGCAAATACATTTTCAATATAGTCTAGTTATTTTTAAGCTTAATGGATATTGTTTAGTTCTTAGATGATGTTAAAAAAAAGTCAGGAATCAAGAGTTTTATTTTGCTGCGCTGTGAATAATAGAGAATATAAAAATACCCTGGAAAAAAATTTTAGTGCTCTGCTTTTTTAATCTACTAGGCCTTCTATGTATATATGGGACATTTTCATGTTTATGTGCTTTTAGAATATTTCTAGGTTGATTTTGTGTGTGTGTGTGTATGTGTGTGTGTGTGGGTGGTATACCACAAATATGCTTAATGTCATTGTTCACATCTACTGACATCTTAATTATTTGGATTTTTTTTTATTTCAACCAAAAGGAATATGTGATGTTTGACATTGTTTATATTTTGTGCAAATATTGTCATGATGTTACCACATTTTGCTGTGGTTCTTGTCAAATGAAAAATTTTGCATTATGCTCATTAAGTTTCTTAGATGAAACTCTGAGAACTAAACATTATCTAGGTAAAAAGCTAAAAATATAAAATGTTCACTCTCATTTTTACCTACTTTCTGTCTGTGATAGCAGTGCTCCTTTTTCTCAGATGAGATTTTAGTTTTCAGTAGTTGACTCTATCATTAACAGACATTTCAAAATCTTCATGTATAGTAAAATATCTGATGAATGCTGTTAATCTTTTCATTTTTCACATTCTTTTATATTCTCAATCTTTATTTTTGTCACCTCCAAGGAGTATGCATTATAGACAAAATACATACTCTTTTTCAGTAAAAGGAAGTAAATAGTATTCAGTGGTTTTTATTTGTTTTTCTGTTTGCCAGAATTTTGTGTGTAATGTTTTTGAAAACTTTCCTACCTGTATGGTCTTTGGACAGTTAATTTCCACTACTAAGTCAGTAACTTTTTTAGCTGGCATGTTTAAATATGGGTGGGTGAGTGGGGATTGTTGTGGTAAACTGGGAATAATCACTTAGTGATAAAAAAAAAATTCAGTACCTTTCCTTTTCTTTTGTACAGTATCAGAGGTGCAGAATATGGGACAAGTTGCATGAAGAGCATATCAATGCAGGACGTACAGTTCAGGTAAGGCTATTTTATTGTTTCAGGTAAATCAGTATGAAAAAGACAGTCTTTTTTTTTTTTTTTTTTGAAAAAGACAGTCTTAAGGAAATTTTGCTAAAATAAATACCCTTGTAGCTGAATCCCTTTATTGTATTTGTAACTATTCTCCTTAAAGATGCATTTTTAGCAGGAATTATTGAATCAGATGTCAGTCATATTTTTAAGGTTTTTTTAATATTACCAAAATTTTCTCCAGAAATGATATATTAACTTACACTTTCACTGTGAATCCATTTTACTACTTTAATACTACTCATTCCTCAGATTATTGCTAATTAGTAGGTAAAAATAATGCTGCTTTGTTGTTTTAATCTGGACTTTTTCTTTCATTGCTTTGAAAGGTGAAACTTTTTATATGTACCTTGGATAGTAAATTTTTTTTTAATGAATTGTCTGTTCATATCCCTTGCATATATTATGTTGTTGTCTTCTGTGAGAGTTCCTTATAATTTTAAATAATTGATCTTCTTTTTATAAGACTGATGCAGTAATATAGTGTTGCAAATATTATTTACCAGTTATTGGCTTTTTGATAAATGTTAATTATTTTAAATTAATTTTTGAAATTCTTATAATTACATAGTTAAGAGCCACGTAAAAAGACATAGCACCTACCCTTCTACATCTCCAGGTCCTTCTTTTAAGAAACTACTCTTAATCCTTTTGGCCATGTTCCCTGGTATTTAGCTCTTTGTTCCTAAATATCATGTGTAGACTGTTATTTCTTAATCAGGTTTAGACATAGTCTCTCCACTTCTTGCTATACGAGGTGCAGATCTAGCTTTCCACCGTACTCTCCTATTTCCTTCCCCCATAATTATATTATTATAATTTTTGGTTAAATTAGTGATTAATATCTCATTGTTTTGATTATAAAGACATTGTTTCTTGCTAAGCCAAATAGTGATAAACAGTACAGACTTTTGCTTTGTTTTCTTTAAAATGTTGGTTTTACTCTAATGACTTTTAGAATGTGTTTAGTGTTTATTTTTAATTGAGATATAGTTTATATACAGTATTATATATTATATGTATATAACAGTGATTCACAATTTTAAAGGTTATATTCCATTTATAGTTATTATAAAATATTGGCTATATTCCCTGTATTGTACAAGAATATATTTATCCTTGTAGCTTATCTATTTTCTACATAATAGTTTGTATCTCTTAGTTGCCTAACTCTGTCTTGCCCCACCTCCTTTCCCTGTCCTTAATGGTAATCGTCAATCTGTTCTCTATATCTGTGAGTCTGCTTAGGTCTTCTGCACATTTTTTAGTTGGGTTTTTTGGTGTTTTTGCTGTTGAGTTATATGAGTTCTTTATATATTTTGGGTATAAACCCCTTATTGGTCACATTATTAGCATACATTTTCTCCCATCCAGTATGTTGTCTTTTAGTTTTGCCAGTGGTTTCTTTTGCTGTGCAAAAGCTTTTAAGTTCGATTAGGTCCCACTTGTTTATTTTTGCTTCTATTTCCTTTTCTTTAGGAGACAGATCCAAAAGAAATATTGCTAAGATTTATGTCAGAGTGTTCTGCCTGTGTTTTCTTCTGGAAGCTTTATGGTTTCTGGTCTTACATTTAGGTTTTTAATCCATTTTGAGTTTATTTTTGTGTATCATTTTAGAGAATTTTCTAATTGCATTCTTTTACATGTGACTGTCCCAGCACCACCTGCTGAAGAGACTGCTGTTTTCCATCGTACATTTTAATGGCCTCTTTTGTTGTGGATTTACTGACCATGAGTCGGTAGCTTTGTTTCTCAGCGCTCTATTCTGCTCCACTTACCTGTGTGTCTGTTTTTGTGCCAGTACTGTACTGTTTTGATTCCTATAGCTTTGTAGTGTGGTCAGAAGTCAGGGAGCATGATTCCGCCAGCTCTGTTCTTTCCCACGATTGTTCTCACTATTCAGGATCTTTTTTGTTTCCACACAAATTTTAAAATTATTTGTTCTAGTGCTGTGAAAAATGCCCTTGGTGTATTGGTAGGGTTTGCATTGAATCTATACATTGCTTTGGGCAGTATGGTCATTTTAAGAATATTGGCTCTTCCAATCCATATACATGGCATATGTTTCCGTTTGTTTGTGTCATCTTCATTTTTTTCATTAGTGTTTTATAGTTTTCCAGGTACAGGTCTTTTACCTCCATCAGTTCAGTTTAGTTCAGTTGCTCAGTCATGTCTGACTCTTTGCGACCCCATGAACCACAGCATGCCAGGCCTCCCTGTCTATCACCAGTTCTCAGAGTCTACCCAAACCCATGTCCATCAAGTCGATGATGCCATCCAACCATCTCATCCTCTGTCATCCCCTTCTCTTCCTGCCCTCAATCTTTCCCAGCATCAGGGTCTTTTCCAATGAGTCAACTCTTCCCATGACGTGGCCAAAGTATTGGAGTTTCAGCTTCAACATCAGTCCTTCCAATGAACACCCAGGACTGATCTCCTTTAGGATGGACTGGGTGGATCTCCTTGCAGTCCAAGGGACTCTCAAGAGTCTTCTCCAACACCACAGTTCAAAAGCATCAGTTCTTCGGCGCTCAGATTTCTTTATAGTCCAACTCTCACATCCATACATGACCACTGGAAAAACCATAACCTTGACTATATGGACCTTTGTTGGCAAAGTAATGTCTCTGCTTTTTAATATGCTGTCTAGGTTGGTCATAACTTTCCTTCCAAGGAGTAAGCGTCTTTTAATTTCATGGCTGCAGTCACCATCTGCAGTGATTTTGGAGCCCAGAAAAATAAAGTCAGCCACTGTTTCTACTGTTTCCCCATCTATCTGCCATGAAGTGATGGGACCAGATGCCATGATCCTAGTTTTCTGAATGTTGAGGTAGGTTTATTCCTAGATATTTTATTCTTTTTGATGCAGTGGTGAATGGATTGTTTACTTAATTTCTCTTTCTGATTACTTGGTTGTTAGTATATAGAAATGTAACAGATTTCTGTATATTAATTTTGCATTCTCCAAATTTACTGAATTCATTGAGCTGTAGTAGTTTGCTGATGATATGTTTAGGGTTTTCTAAGTATCATGTCACCTGCAAATAGTGACAGTTTTACTCTTTCTCTTCAGTTTGGATTCCTTTTATTTCTTTTTCTCATCTAATTGCTGTGGCTAGGACTTCCAATACTATGTTAAATAAAAGTGCAAAGAGTAGACATTCTTATCTTGTTCCTGACCTTAGAGGAAATACTTTCTCCTTTTTACTGTTAAGTATGCTGTTAACTGTCTTTTTACTTCTTTTGGAGTTAATAATCTTTTCATTTAAAAATATTTACTATTTTTTTGTATAGTTTTAGTTAATTTTTAAAAAATGCTCCACATCTCTGCCACAGTGCTGTCAATATTTTTTATATGCTCAAATATGTCACTTCAATTCTCTATCCTAAAGGCTGTCTCCTGAAACCGTTCTGCCATTTCCAGCCTGAGCTCATTTTCTAGGTTTGTTGCACAGCTCTTGTTCTGGGACTTCCCTCAGTTGTTCCTGTGTTGGTTCCTGTTTTTTCTGGATATCATGTCTTCCTCATTTTTGGCTTATTCCATTGTTCTGCTGGAATATATCTTTCAATAGCTCTCAAATAAGGGTGCCTTAGAGGTAAAATTTTAATTTATTTTGTGTCTGATAAATACCTTTATTCTCCCCTCACGTGTGATTGGTAATTTCAGTAGGTATAGAATTCTCTTTGAATTTTGAAGGCTTTCTAATTTAGTGTTGCTCTTAAAAAGTAACTATCATCTAGTTTCCCATTCTTTGTATAGGACCAAGTTGTTTTCCTCTTTGAGAACCTTAGTGATCTCTCTATCCTGGTGTTCTGAAATTTGATAATGTGATGTGCTTTGTGTTGGACCCTTTCAATTTAAAAACTCATGATTTTAGTTCTGTGAATTTTTTTTTCCTTTTTGTAAAATATGTTTTTTAAAAATTATTTCCTTGTTGCTGGCTGCCCTGGGTCATCATTGCTGCTCTGGGACTTTCCCTGGCTGTGGTAAGCCGGGCTCCTCTCATTGCCCGGTGTCGGCCTCTCGTTGCAGCGGCGTCTCTGCTTTGGAGCGCGGGCTCTCGGGCACGCGGGCTGCAGCCATTGCGGCCTGTGGGCTCTGGACTGCAGGTTCGGCATTTGTGGTGCTGGGCTTCGCTGTCCCACAGCACGTGTGGTCTTCCTGGATCAGGGGTTAAACCTGTGTTCCCTGCATTGGCAGATGGATTCTTAACCACTGACCACCAAGGAAGCCCCTGGGAATTTTTCTTACTTATTGATTATTTATTCCTCTGTGTTTTCTCTTGTCCTGTCTTTTTAAAATATCCTTTTACTGCAAGGGTCAGCAAACTATAGCTCACAGGCCATATCTTGCCTGCTCTGGGCCCCGTTTGTTTATGTGCTGTCTTTGGCTGCTTTCATACTACAACAGCAGAATTGAATGGTTGCATCAAGAGACCATATGCCCGGCAAAGCCTAAACTATTTACTGTCCGATCCTTTGCAGAAAAAATTTGTTGATCTCTATTCGGTTGAATGGAAGACTCTTGGATTGCTTTTCTAATTTTCTATTCTGTTTTCTGAGAGATTTCCTTAGCTTTATTTTCAATTCTTTCTACTGAATTCTTTGTTTCTACTATTATGACATTTATTTCCCAAGAACTTTTTCTTATTTTTTTTTTTAGCATTTTACCTTTGTACATAACAATTCTTTCTGCTTTTGTGAGACACTAAAGAGCTGATTGCTTGTCTCCTGGTGGACTTCACTTAAATATTCTTTGATAGGCTGGCATTTTCCTTGGAGCAACCTCCAAGTATCAGTGTCTGGAGGTTGTTGTGGTTTAGTTTTCTGAGGAAGAATCCTTGTTTTCCTCCTAGGTAAGTAGGCACTTATTTCCTAATTACAGAAGTAGCAGCGTGGGTAAATTCTGCTGTGCTTCGGTTGTTCAGTCGTGTGAGCCCTGTCCCCTC